TACAATAATATATTATTTATTTTTTCAGCTGTAAAAATCTCATTTAAATTGATTCTCGTTTGAGTGTTGAGTTATGAAGGGGTGGGAAATATATTTGAAATTGTTACATTTATAATCTAAGCAACTAATAAAATTCAATGCAGGGATTTGTCTGCTTTGTAGTTATCAAGTAGGTGTAACTTTTCAAACAATTTTGCTTTTTTCAGTAACTAATTTATTAAAAATTACACTTTAGATACCAAAATGCTGTTAAAACAGTTACAACACCGTTTGCTTGGTGAAAGTTCAAAGGTCATGCTACAAAGGCAATTTGCTGACCACTTTAAAGTGTGGGAAGATATTCAGTTTTCTCGCATTTATGACGTCATTTATGATCTTAAGTTTCTTTTTCATTATTAGTATACTACAGTTCTTGTCAAATGAATAAATAACTGAAAAACTTTATAGTTTTTTTTGATATCATAAGCTTAATTCCAACAATAAGACATAACATTAATATGTATGACAATAAATGGTAATTGATAACTTAACCAGATTAAACTTCTCTAACAGATAAAGAATATTGTTTGACTTCTTATAACCTGCACTTCTCTCCTATTCCTATTTTAAGCCAGTCTTTATTTAACATCTACAGTTAAAATTTGTTGTCTGAAAAAGTACTGTATTTTAAACAATTCTTTGTTTTCATTTAGAATATTTCGTACATTATTCATTCTTTCAGAATATTAAAGGCAAGACATTGCATTTTCATAAGATTAGTTATGGACAATGGCATTATTTAGAGGTAAATATAATAGATGTCCTATTTGAAGGGTCTAGGGATTGTAAAAATGTCTGTTAAGTAGAACTGTCGGCTATTTGGAAGTGTCTGTTAATGAAGATTTTACTGTATTTTTAATTATAAGTAACTGTGTACAATAATAACTGTTACTCTAAGAACTAATCTAGCTATTAGTTATCAGGGATGTAATAGTCTTTATACAAATATATTTTAAAAATATACCTATTTTTATAATATTCACAATACATTTAACAATCTCTTCCACACCAGAGTGCTGCATTAACCGTTTGAGAATCATTGATGTAGGGAATACCAAAGCAATTATATATAACAAGTGGATTTTATTATATTTATTTATTTTTAAAAGAAAAAATACTTACCTCTTCATCTTCACCATCAACAAAAGTTTCATCTGGTTCTCTGGTATTTTCAATTGTCCTTGGTTCTTGTTTTGGAGGTGCCTTTAGAAGTTAAAAAACATTTATTTTTAAAAGTTAGAACTATTTTCAATAATAATAAATAATAATAATAATTCTTTCTCGGGTAAGCAGATTACAAAGTTCTGTGCATCCACACNTTTTATATTTTAATTCAAGAATTAGTCTAGTTTTTCATTATATAAGTGTCTATATCTGTTTCACAGGTAAACAATAGAGATTTCCTCAATTCGCAGAACCCGGACACCAGTAAAATAAGTCCTACTAATACAATATGTTCTAGTAGACACATATAATAAATTAATAATAAGGACACAAAGGTATATGAATTAGTCTAGGTTTTATTTTAAAACAGCTGATAAAATTATTTCAAATTAAAAAAATTTATACTATAAACTTTTTTAAGAGCCAAATTAAAAATAAACTAATTGAAAACATTTTATTCTAGTACTTTTTGACAAATATATTATTTTATATTACCATTATTTATTGACTCTTATTACTATCACCACGATTAAAATTACTTCTATTAAGAATATTTATTTGGAAATTGATAAATGAAATGTTTTTTACTTACTCTCAGAGATAAAAGAAATTCATTAAAATCTATTGTACCACTTCCACCTTTATCAAATTCTGAAAAAAGAGCATCAACATCATCATGTTCTAAATTAACTCCATAGTCGTGCAATCCTTTTTCAAATTCTGCTTTATCCAATTTTTTATCTCTGTTATCATCCATAATACGAAATGTTCTATAGAAAATAAATAAATATTTATTTACATTTATATTTTTGTATATGTTTATAAATATTAAACATTTATTTTTATATATCACTTAAAAATGAATACCTTCCTAATGTCTTGATACCATTAACTCCTCTTTGGAGACATTGATATCTCAGTTTCTCAATAGGAGTTCTCACATGGATAACCTTTTTCTGAGGATTAGATTCTAATTCGTATCTACCAGTTGCCGCCATCCTTTAATAATTCAATTTGCAATTTAAAGAAAAAAAAAAAATATATAGAAAATTAAAAATATTAATTAAATTTTGCAAATCTAAAACAGAAGATAAATAATTTAGGGCACTAACTTAATTATTTCAAATTAGAGACATTTACTAAAATAAAAACAAACAAAATCTAGCAGATTAGTTACTGATAAGATATCAATATTTGAAGAACAGATTGTTTTTGCATACGTTTCCTGTCATTAATAAGATTGTTCGAATTAATGCCACAATTTTTAGGCAAATTATTATTGTTTTTATTATTTAAAAAACATCTTTTAAGTTTTACTTTTAAATATGTAAAACTAGATAATTTCTAAATTAATTATTNTGGCTTGTTTTAAAAAATATTTTACATAATTCATTCTGCCTTATATTGAATTCAACAATGTCTGTCATTTAAAAGTTTTTCCCTCATCGTCAATTCAAATAGAATGTACTGTAAGGTTCTCACTAAACTTTATAGTTTAAAAAATCATTATAACCTAAAGAGTGCACTATACAAGACATTCCCTTTCTTGCAAGACAAAAGACTGAAATAAGCTGATAAGGCACAAACAATTCACCAGCTTTTTTAATCACATATGAAATCTCACTATGAGCAAAGTCACCTTTACATTGTCCGTGATTAATGGTAAAGAAACGAAGACTCACTTCATCTAAGTGTTTCAAACTGCAAAACAATGTCCTGACACAATGGAATTCTAATTTTGTCCACCACAACCATCGGCAAATAAATTGGCAGTGTGAACCTTCCTTAATACGAGTATTAATTTTTCAATAAGACAAAATATATTAAATGTGGTGGTCATGTGACTGGAAAAATATGGCTGCTTAGTGTTTTACCTCGAAACATTTTCCTCTGGTTGAGTCTCATTTTACTGAATCGGAGTGGGCAGAAAGAGAATTTCACATAATCTCCAGGTAACTTTGCAACAAAGAGGCATAAGTCTAGATACATCTTTAAAATCATTTAAAAACACAGTGTTTATGGCATTGCTTAAGAAATGTCCATAAGTTATATCATCAGATATTTGAGAAACACCCAGTGTTTATCGTTTCATAGAATGCAAACAGTGTTACATAGAGATACTGAAAGTTTGGCCACCATTTTTTAAAATGGTGGCAAAATTTCCTGTAATTCATTGCAAATTGTCTTCCATTTCGTGTGAAGTGTGTAGGCATGTAAACAGCAACAGTGATGTGATCGTACTAAGTGTAGATCAAGTATTAAATGATTGCTTGATCCATTTAAAATTAAAACAACACTAAACAAAGAACAGATTATTATTAAGACTGAAATGCTTTCAGTCCATTCATAGACTATCATCAGGATCAACTCCAATTCAAAAACAAAACATTCCAAAATGTAATAATCAATTAAATCATGTTAATAAAAACAAATTGTAGATATCATGCAATTTTCAATGAACTGAAAACAATTTTTGAAAAATCTGGAAATCCTTTGAAGAAAGAAAAAGGATATTATTTTATCTATCAAAGTAATGGTTTGACCATTCAAGAAATAAAGCATTATAATTTGTAGACTAAAAGATTTTTAAGTTTAAAATTTTGTAATATAAAATAAATCACCAACTAAAAAATGATAGTCTAACTTGGATGGCACACAGGGAAAAATCATCTGACACATAATGTATCGTGTAACTTTGGTTTATCATCTGTCATTTTTCAATCATCCTTATGATTTATTACTTGATCGTCCTTTTTTGATCAGTTTCTTTACATTTATTATACTGTATTTTCACAGAATCGCCACCACGCCAATCTATCCAGGGAAGACCATGAAATCAGATATTTCCATATGGTAAAAGCTGGCATGCCTGTTTAAGTGAGGTTATACATCCCTCTCTGGAGGGCACATTAAAAAAACAAAGGAGTTTTTATTCTGTGAAAATTGTGAAACTGCGACTGACTAAACTATTTTCTAAAACTGTGAAACTGTCAGCATTATATCAAAAAGTACAATTATATGTTTAATTTCTTCAGTTTGTCTTCTTTCTAATGACGTAAAATACTTGTGTAATTCCTACTAATGTCAATAAGTCATTAATTGTTTTATTGTCTTCTAAATGAAAACTCTCTTCCTGATTTTAAGTCAGTCAAATTACAATGTTATAAAAAATATAAAAACTTCACAAATATCTTTGCTTTCTTTCCATCTTTTACACTAGCAACAGTTCAGAACAGAATTTTTTATATGCAGAGATGACCTTTCCTTTGAGGCTACAGCCCCGCAACATCATTTACCAGAACATGCTGTTTCTGTTTACATTTGCCAATACAGTGGAACCTCGGTATACGACCTTAATTCGTTCCTGATTGTTGGACTTATACCGAATAGGACGTATACCGAATCAACCTTTCCCATAAGAAGTAATGTAAAAATGATTAATTCGTTCTCATGTAAAAAAAATGGCTGGCTTTAAACACCTCGCTTTCCTGGCTAGTTTCTGCTTGATTTTTCATGAGATCAGCATGTATTTTTGTAGCTTTCTCGCAAATAATTGCTTCTGATACGGTGTCTCTAGCACACTGTTTTTCAGTTATCCAAAGCAAAAGCAATTTCTCAACATGATTTAATGTCTTCGATCTCTGTTTAGAAATTGATTTAACCCCTTTCGCAACGTTAGCAGATTTAATAATGTCTTTATTTTTCACGATTGTCAATATCGTCGTTCTCGGAATACGGTATGCAACAGTTAAATCTTGAACACGCGTGCCACCTTCATATTTCTCAACAATCTCTTT